CTGCCCTGCAGACCTGCAGCTCAAGCAGGGCCACCCAGCCGAACCACAGGGCTGCAGTGAGAAGTCAATGCTTGTGGTTGCATGCTTGTGTACTATGCAGAAGGTGCTGACTTTTACAGCCACTTACTAGATGTGTGTCCTTGTCACAGGGCTTCACTTCTTAGAGCCCTGGTTTCCTATCTGTAAACCAGGCTCGCTGTCATATGTACTTGGAAGGTGGGTGCTTTGTGAGCACTAGGCAAGGTGCTGCACCTAAAGCTCTTGGCACAGAGCCTGGAGTGCAGAAGGGGCTCGTTAGTTTCATTTTCATACTCTTACTGCCCGGCATGCTGCACAGTGGGTGCCATGTCTAAGGAAGGCGAGCTGGAGCTCCACTGGGTGAAATTCAGGGTGGCAGCAGGAGAACAGGCTGGTTGAGGTCAGGTGTCCCCGGGTAGTGAGGCTGGCAGGCAGTGCGGGAGGCCACTCTCCTTCTATCTTGCTTAGAAGTATGGAAGCGGGGTGCTCAGTTACACGCCCCTGGGCAGGTGGCATTCTCTCCCTCTCTGCTGCAGTTCAGGGGCTGATGCCAGCATAATGGGCCCCTCCTGCAGAGGCTCTGGAGAGACTTCCCGGCTGCGTTCCCCACCCACGGCTGTGTCCCGGTGAATGAATCCTGTTTCAGGACGTCCCCGGCTTGCTGCCCGGCCAACCTTCGGCAGGCCGGGCTACCTCAGGGAGGTTAGCAGAGGGCTGGCACTTGCCTGCTGAGCAAATCAATCCCTTTCAGGCACAGTGTCTGGGCACGGCGGTGTCTGGGCCGTGCCCACCCGCCAGGGCCGTCATTATCCCTGCAGCGTTCCTCTCTCAGGTGTGTGATAAAGGTGCCTCCAGGAACACCTCCATTATTCCCCGAATGTGAGCCCAAAACACATGTGATTAGGGGGCCTAAAGCAGTTGTCTCTCCCCGTATGAGTTCCTGCTCCAGTTCCCGTTCTTTTTCCTTGGCCCTGACACATAGATGATGAGGGACAGAGACGGGTGCTCCTGCTTGCTTCTGTTTGCATCTCTAACAGTATCTGTAGAGGCGATGAGGGCATTTCTTCAAAAAACATCTCTTCTGTATAAACTCAGCGTGGCATCAAGATCCTTCAAGATCTGGCTCCAACCATCTTTCAAGCCACTCCCTCTGTGCCTGTCACAGCTACCACAGGGGTCATCCAGTCTCCTCAGTAATTCAGGCATCGCCAGTGTGTGTTGGGTTCACTGCTGGACGCTGAGCTAGAAGGCTGATGAGGGCAGAGTCCTCCCCTCGCACTCCTCATAGTCGTCTGGATGCCCTGCTTGCCCTCTATGCTTGCAATCCCCTCCCTCCTTCTCGCCCTCTCTCCCTCCCTCTCTTCCTTTCTCTCTCTCTCCCTCTCCCTTCAGTCCTCATTTGAATGGCACCTGTTTACAGGTGCCATTCAAATGAGGACTGAAGAGATGACTGGTTATTAGCAACTTTGCCATGTAATCCTCAGCACATTTCCCAAAGAGTTCTTGCCATATTTTTAACATCGGACTTGTTATAAATCTTTATCATGCATTATGCTCTGTCTGTCTCCCCAGCAAAAGAATGAGGACCTTCTGGACAGGAAACATGTTCTGTTGCTCTCTCCATCCTGTGGCACTGAGGAGCCACTCAAGTATTTGCAGGGTGAGTAAGTGGATGAAGGCTGTGGGTTTTAACACTCGTGGTCACTTTAGCTATTAGCAAATGTGTCCTCCTCAGCTCCTATGGACTTGATGGGGGTGGCAGTCAGCAGGGAAACCTAATTTAAAATAGATGAAGTTGAAGTGTCCCTTAGCCACAAAATGGCCATCCATCACTGGTCCCAACAAGACCAGTCACTCTGGCTATCCAGCCCCTATTTGCACCAGAATCAATACCCGCTCCCAAGGAAGGCCACCTTCTATAGCACAGAGCCACGTGGATGCCTTCAACTTTGGCAGCAGCCACATCATTATCTGGAGAGACTTCCCGGCTGCGTTCCCCACCCACGGCTGTGTCCCGGTGAATGAATCCTGTTTCAGGACGTCCCCGGCTTGCTGCCCGGCCAACCTTCGGCAGGCCGGGCTACCTCAGGGAGGTTAGCAGAGGGCTGGCACTTGCCTGCTGAGCAAATCAATCCCTTTCAGGCACAGTGTCTGGGCACGGCGGTGTCTGGGCCGTGCCCACCCGCCAGGGCCGTCATTATCCCTGCAGCGTTCCTCTCTCAGGTGTGTGATAAAGGTGCCTCCAGGAACACCTCCATTATTCCCCGAATGTGAGCCCAAAACACATGTGATTAGGGGGCCTAAAGCAGTTGTCTCTCCCCGTATGAGTTCCTGCTCCAGTTCCCGTTCTTTTTCCTTGGCCCTGACACATAGATGATGAGGGACAGAGACGGGTGCTCCTGCTTGCTTCTGTTTGCATCTCTAACAGTATCTGTAGAGGCGATGAGGGCATTTCTTCAAAAAACATCTCTTCTGTATAAACTCAGCGTGGCATCAAGATCCTTCAAGATCTGGCTCCAACCATCTTTCAAGCCACTCCCTCTGTGCCTGTCACAGCTACCACAGGGGTCATCCAGTCTCCTCAGTAATTCAGGCATCGCCAGTGTGTGTTGGGTTCACTGCTGGACGCTGAGCTAGAAGGCTGATGAGGGCAGAGTCCTCCCCTCGCACTCCTCATAGTCGTCTGGATGCCCTGCTTGCCCTCTATGCTTGCAATCCCCTCCCTCCTTCTCGCCCTCTCTCCCTCCCTCTCTTCCTTTCTCTCTCTCTCCCTCTCCCTTCAGTCCTCATTTGAATGGCACCTGTTTACAGGTGCCATTCAAATGAGGACTGAAGAGATGACTGGTTATTAGCAACTTTGCCATGTAATCCTCAGCACATTTCCCAAAGAGTTCTTGCCATATTTTTAACATCGGACTTGTTATAAATCTTTATCATGCATTATGCTCTGTCTGTCTCCCCAGCAAAAGAATGAGGACCTTCTGGACAGGAAACATGTTCTGTTGCTCTCTCCATCCTGTGGCACTGAGGAGCCACTCAAGTATTTGCAGGGTGAGTAAGTGGATGAAGGCTGTGGGTTTTAACACTCGTGGTCACTTTAGCTATTAGCAAATGTGTCCTCCTCAGCTCCTATGGACTTGATGGGGGTGGCAGTCAGCAGGGAAACCTAATTTAAAATAGATGAAGTTGAAGTGTCCCTTAGCCACAAAATGGCCATCCATCACTGGTCCCAACAAGACCAGTCACTCTGGCTATCCAGCCCCTATTTGCACCAGAATCAATACCCGCTCCCAAGGAAGGCCACCTTCTATAGCACAGAGCCACGTGGATGCCTTCAACTTTGGCAGCAGCCACATCATTTAATTGTAATCAGACCAATGCTGGCAATGGGCTGGGGAGGAAAGTCCCACTAATGATTGACTGTGCAGCTGGCAGTCTGTTAGATAGTGTGTTGGGGCTTAAGGTGTGATTTCACAGCTTTTCGGAGTCTCTAAACTGCAAATTCAAGATTATTTGAAGACATTTTATTTAAATCTTATGCTATTTAATCAAAAAAGTTAAAAGACTAATAGTTTTTTATGGGCAATTATAAAATACGCTATTTGCACATGAGACAGAAATGTCTTCCTTAGCTGAGCAATCTAAGTGTGCACTTAGGGAGGACTCCGCAGGTACTGATGAAGAAGGCCAGGTGGTTCGGGGACAACACATTCTTCTAGGTGATGTCCATCTAGGTGGAGTGTGATTCCCCAGGCTCATTCATCACCCCCACTTCCCCACACTGCAGCCTCTTCATATGGAGTGACTTGGCAGGGAGCACCTTTGGGGAGGGCTGGTGTTTGGCCCATCTTTATATTCCAGGAGCCTCGCCTGGTGTCTGTCATGGGGAAGGTGTGCTGGGAATGTTTGCTGAGTGAGTGGAAGGGTTCTTCATCCTCTGTGTCCGGCAGACCGACGTGAGAGCAGCAGCAGACTGACTGAAAGCGTTCACTCTGCCTTTTCCACATCACCGTGGAGGCAGAAGCTGCAGACAAAGCTGAGCGCCTCACTTGGTGGAAGAGACGCCAAGCAGATGTGGGATGCTGGAATGTTTGCATGCTGCCTTTTACTTTTGGGAAATCATCATTGAACTATTGCTTGATTTAGAATCCTAGGCCCAGAAGGACCTTAGAAACCTGAAGTTCACCTTACAGATGAAGAAACAAAATCATAAGAGGATGTTCCTGCTAAGAGACAAAGTCAGGACTTGAATCCCACTTTCCTGCTCACTCCTTATTAGTTAAAAAGATTTCTTTCCTGAACGGACTTCTTTCATTTTTTGGTGTATGTCATTTCAGAGAACTGTCTCCCAATCTTGCAGCTTCTGGGATTGCCATGGGAGATGGCACCACCCTTTCCTCTCTTCTCATTTCAACTTTGCACTGTAGCCTCTTCTGCTTTAGGATTCTGGGGGTAAAACACTCTAGAAACCAAAAGAACTGGACAGAGTCCTCTAGATCAGTGGGTCACACCTAGGAAGGGAGGAAGATGCCACCCTGCACCCACCTGGCAGGAACACCAGCACACAGAGAGGGAGACCTGAGCCAGCTGAGGGCCTCTGGAAGTGCTGAGGTTGGATCCGAGGTGCCCGGCAAATGCTCCTTCAATCACATGATTGGCAAGCCTCGGATGTGGCCAGCTGACCTGGTGGAGTCTGTCAGTGAGTATAGCCCCCAGCTCATTACCAGTCCAGGGATAACGACGGCCATCACCATAATCATTATCACCTAAGACAGGCATGGATGACAAAGGCACCTCGGGGACTTCCTTTTGAAATGAGCTGCTGCTCAGCCAATCCTGACTCTCCAGAGTGACTTTCTAGAGAATTAAAGGATCATGAAGTTGAAAGGGGCCCTTGGAGATCATCAGTTATGGCTTTCTGCCTTCAGACAGGACTAACCGTTACCGAATCATTGCTTTATAGGAAATTGAACCAAACTTACTTTTATATGTTATTCTTGTGATAGTATCTCTGTTGAGCATTCGATTGAGAAATGGGTTTGATGAATCAGAAACCTAGGAGAGAAAAGAAAATATTAATGACTGGGCAGTACTAACCTCCATGCATTCACTTACCCATTCATATTTACTATGTGCCTACCATGTGCCAAACACTGTGATGGCTGGAAATTCAGAGATCAAATATACAGATCTGTTCTCCAGAAACCCAAGTCTACAAGAAGAGAGGTCAGTAAGCAAATGGTTATAATATAGTGTGAACAGTGCTATGATAGAGTCATGGGTGTGATGATAGTAGAGGAAGACCACCCATATGGGAATCTGGGGACCTAAGGCATGAACTGAGTCTGGAAGGATGGGTGCAAGTCAGAGGAGCTGTGCATGGGTGGACATGGGGGCGTGAGAGCTAGGACTTCACTGCAGCTGCAGCTGAGGGTATGGCGGGTGGTGGAGAGGGAGGCTAGAGAGGAAGGAAGGGGCTGGCTCATGGTAGGCTTTCAGCATCACATTAGGACATTTAAACTTTATTCTGTAGGAATGGGGAGCCACCATACAAAGGGTTTTAAACAGGGGGTAGGAAGTGACATTTCAGGAAAGGAAGAGTTATCTAAATAGAAAGTGAGAGAGAAAGAGTACTCAGAACATAGGCATCAGGAGATGAAAAAAATCACATAGAACCTTATTAATACTGCTCATTATTACATGAATTGAATATATCATAAGTCACATCATTGAGCTAATTAATCATCCATCTATGCATACATCCGTCCATGCATCCATACATCTAATAACTATTTACCAAGTGCCTATTAGGGGCCAAACATTGTATTAGATGTTCAGAGATCAGTTCCCATTTTATGCTCATGTGCTTAGGTCTCTAAATTCCTTCTTTGGGAGAACAAGCCAAGCTTCAAGGGGCTTAAGCCAGGCGATCACTGTTTGGAGACTGTGACGTGCCCCCACGTAACTGTACGCTGTTTGCTGAACAACTCTCCCTTTACTCAGCCTTTTCCAGGGAACCATTGCTCATCCTATCATTTCTCTCCTATCTCACTCAGTTCTGCTCGGCTCTGTCATTTATGCCTCAGCTGCTAATCGGATGCTGTGACACATAAGCATTTTAAATCTGATTTATTCTGAGGGTTGGAAAAACTGCAGCAGATGATTATTATTATTACATAAGCAACAGGTAATTTTTCGTCTGGAGAAAGCACATACAGTTTATTTTCACTCCAGCTGTCTCTCCTCCCCTGCCACAGTTTCCTGGGGGTGTTGTGGGGAGACACACACCCTGGGAGCTTGATGAGTTATACCGCTCGGTTGGGTTTGTAAAACCCACACCCAAGTGGAGAAAAGTCGCAGTTCGAACACTGTTGCTCCCCAGAAGCTTTAGTGCCAAATTAAACTTCTATTTTGACATCCTCTTCAGCCATTTAAAAGATAGCTTGAAGCAGACTGAGCCAATGTACCCCATGGAAGAAGAGCCAAAAATATATATTCATGGCAGGTAAGGAATCTGCTATGTCTCTTAATCAGGTGCCTTGGCTCCTGGTAGCTGGTGAGTCTGGGCAGTGCTAATGCTGGGACTGGACCCTTTTGAGCTGATTAAAAATAACTGGAAAATTTCCAAAGTGCACACAGATGATTTGTGGGCTCCAATGGGTTGGCTGTGTGGGACAGAGGATAAAGTATGTACTTGGTATAAGTGAGCTTAAGTGGGAAGTTAATGGTGTGTGACTGAGCAGCAATTACAGCCAAATCTCAGTTCCCTGTGGTCATGGGAAGAGTGGGGGGTTAGGCGGGGACAGAGATAAATAAAATCCACAGATAAACAAGTCTCTTAATTTAGCCAACAACTCCAAACGTTGTATGGCTCAGCTTTTGGCCAGGGTGACATCTCTCGGGCTCAGCTGACCTAGGTGTGAGGCCTCTCATTTTCTGTTCCTGTCTGCCCTGCAAGGCGCTAGGAAGGGGAGGACCATCAGAGGCTGTGAGCCCTGAGAGCCCAAGGGCTTTCTAGGTACTATGCCTTGCGCAGGGCCAGCCTGTGTTTCGAGCTGGGTTGGTATTTGGGATGAGTGAATGACAAGTAGCAGCTTGAAAAACTCACTGGGAAGCATCTGGGAGCTGATTATGTTGGATAAAGATAGAAATGTGTGGCATATTCTGAGATCTAGCCAGAAAGCTTCAGATTTGCTCAGGGAAGGAAGGGAGGCACCCCTAGGGGCCAAACTGGCCTGTGAAGATGCAGGAGTCAGTCACCATCTTTTCACGGACCTCAGGGGCTGGGGCGTAATTTGCTCTCAATAACCTGCAGGGAAGCACCCAAGAGCTGCGTCAGGAATCTCGGTGGAGCGAGCATTCCTGCAAGGGCTTGTGAAACAAACCAGTAGTTCCAGTAGTTTGCTGCTGAGGAGGCTGACTTCCTGGCGTATCAGTTACCCTGTCAGCTGTAATGTGCCTGTGCTTCCAAGATGACATTCACTGACTCAAGCACTTTGAGCAAAGTGAGGCAAAGGCAGGGGCTGAGGCCGAGGTGCCCACCACAGGACAGGCAACCTGTGCAGCCTGGTTGGCTGACATGGAAGGCCTGGCTTTGGGAAAGCTGTGGGGAGATGAACCCCTGGAGACGCATGACACAATATTGCGACATATCTGCAGGCTTCACGACACCAGTGTGGCCCAGGTGGAACGCACCAGTTGGCTGTCAGTGTCAAGACTGGGCCATGAGATGACTGGTCGGGGTTATAGGAACTTGCCCTGTGCTTGTGGGCAGCAGGGGAACGTGGGGAGATGATCTCGAATGTCGTTTTCTCTCTTTTTTGTCTCAGTTGCTTTCTCCCGTCCTCCCTCTCTTGGGCAGGCATGTGGTGTGAATAAAGTCGTTAGTATTCAAGTCAGGCAGGACCTGGGTTCCTTTCCTGGATGGACTGTTAAGAGCTACATGCACCTTGGTGGAAAGCCAAAGATTATCTGGACCCTTTTCCTCATCTGTGAGATAGGGACACTAATGCCTGCCCCACAGGTTTATTATTAGGGTTAAATGGTAAGATATATGTAAGGCACACATCTCAGCACCTGGCATTCATATTTATTATAGCAGGGCCTCTGGGGATGCCAAGGTGTGTAGAGCAGATTCCTGGCAGGCTTGGCACCAGGGCCCATTTCCTTTGGGATGTCACAGCAGGTATTAAGAGGGGATTGTAGCCTAAAATATGCTTCCCTGGCCCAAAGCCCTTCCCCATTTTTGCTAATGACAAGCTGGAGAAACGTGGGGTCAGTGGGCCGGGGCAACAACATGTCACACATGCCCCTGCCCAGCATCCAGCTCTGTCCAGACCACAGAAAGGCCTGACCCAACCCAGCGGAGGGAGAGAAGGTTAGGGGGAACCTGGACAGGAATGACCAGGCAAGGTCAAGGGCCTGATGCTTTTGGGGATGTGACGGAGTAGTGCACAGGGTGGACCCCCATGCCCATTCTTCTGAGCAATGATGTCATCATAAGAACTCTGTTAAAACCCCCGGTGACAAATGCTGGGTTTCTATTGAGCACCCTCAGCAGATTCCAAGTCCAGCTGGGGTGTATCCTCTAGTGGTCTGGTCCAGATTTCCCAAGGGGCTGGCAGAGTGACCACCAACTTTTGGAATGGCCACATGTTGCTTTTCTTCCTCTTTTTTTCCAACTGGAAAGACAATTTCTTTTAAGTTTGCATGCCTATTTCACTCCACATCTTTCAAAATGTTAAAGGTGATTATTTCTCAATAATTGCTTGGTTGGGGATTTGTTGTTGACTGTGAGGGAGATGTGGAGCCTCCCTAGAAGGTCACCAAGTCAGCGTTAGTGGTCTTTGCTTCATTTCCCCCTGGGACTCCGAAGATGGAGAGGAAGAAGGAGATGGGGAGGTGAGAGCAGAGCGTTTGTGGGGAAGCTGGAGGGAGCTGGTCAGTTCAGTGCCCTCAGGGGAGCGCATCTCACACTGCCCCTCTATCTCTTTTTTCCAAGGAGCAGCTGACGGACAGGATTTTAATTCTGTGGGGTGCATCAGTGAGCCACCCCTTCCCTTCTGTTGCATCCTCCCGATTCTTCTGCATAAGGTGAAACTGGAAGCCTGCCCCTAGATATGGCACCATTTTCTTCTCTAGGACAGAAGCAGCCTGAATCTCCAGGCGCTGATGCTCTGAAATGGAGCCCATAGTTTTTGCATCTCACTGAAAAGGATTCCATTTCTCACAAACCTCATGGATATAAAGGTCACCACCCTCAGCTTTTCCTGGGCATGAACAGCACCACTTTTGTTATTTCTAAGGTCCAACAGGGTCTGCAAACTGATAATGCAATTGGGGTGGGAATCTCAAGAAGACAAGAATGAAGGAAGGCAAGACACTTACTTTTATAAATATAGAAACTACCACCAATCCGTTTGGGCTCTTTGCAGCTTCTGTGACATTTGTATATAACTCATGGTTATAGTGGATGAGTTGTACCTGGCAGGAGGGAAAAACAGTCATAAGAACAACAATCTAGGATTTAAAGGTGTGAAGTACAGCATCTCTGCCCTACATAAGGGTAAACTATAGAGTATATTGCAGGACAGTTGGAAAGATAACCTTATAATTGAAAGGATTTCAGGGAGACATGTGTGTGTATATAAAATGCAAGGACATACACACATATACAAAAATACCCATACATATTTTCAAATATTTTCTGGTAACAATCATGCCTTTAATAAGCTCAGTGCCCATCTGGTTCTGGCTCTATCTCAGGATATTTCCCCTAAAGCGTATGTAAAGTGTATTTCCCTTAGTAGGAGCGGAACTGACTTTCCGGGGAAGACGTGCTCTCCTGGCTGCACCAACAGCTGCCACGGGCACTGAGTAACTCTTCCTCATGGCCTCGGGCGAGCAGGGAATTGTGAGGTCCTGAGTCAGCCCAGTGACTCTGAGAGGACACTGGCCAGCCTGCAAGATGCAGCAGTGCTGATGGAGAGAGAGCCGATGGCTTAGGCCCCCGTGCACAGCCTGCCCAGGCCATCAGACTGTGCAGGACCCAACTTCCTCCTTGTTTCATGAAGATCAGCAATCTGCTTGTTGAGCTCTTATGCAACAGGCAATGTGGGAGTCCTGGACCTGGGCTCCAGTAAACTAGCTTTTCCTCCTGTTACCTACTTTATTTGAAAACTCTTTTTAAAAAATTTGTGAAACATAGCTTACAGATATGTTCAAACTAATGCGCCACCGATTTTGAGCCATGTGACTAAGTTATTCCACCTCACTGAGACTTGATTGCTTCCTCTGAAAAGTGGATATGATTATTTCCCTTGAAAGTCATCTCAGGCAGTGGTTTTAAAATAGATTGTTTTTAACAGTATGGAAGTACAATTTTTGTAAGAAACTAAAAGAGAAGTAAGAAAAATTGATAGTTTTCCCCCCACCTCTCTTTAATCCCAGCTCAAGCAATTTAACCATTAATGCTTTGTATATATCCTCCAAATATTTATCTATGCTTGTAAATCACATAAACATATAGATATAGGGTTTAAAAAACAATGGATGGATATATTTCTAGAAAAATGCAACTTAACAAGATTGAATTAACAAAAATAGAAATCTGCACAGATGTGTACAAATAAGGAGATTGAAGTAATGGTCAAAAATATCCCAACAAAAAAACTCCTGGATTAGATGGCTTTTTGGTTGAATTCTACCAATCATTCAAAGAAGAAATCATACCAGTCCTTAAACTCTTCCCAAAAATAAGAACAAGAGAGAGTATTTCCAAACTCATTTTATGAGGCCAGCATTATTCTGCTATCAAAGCTTATACCTCAAGAAAAGAGAACTAGAGGCCAATATATCCCTAGTGAACATAAATGGAAAAATCTTCAATAAAATATTAGGAAACAAAATTCAACAGCACTGTTACAAGGATTATACACCATGACCAAATAGGATTTATTCCTGGAATGCAAGGATGGTTGAACATATGCAAATCAATCAGTATGATACACCACATTAACAGAATGAAAGGTAAAACCACATGGCCATCTCAATAGATTCAAAAGTATTTCACAAAATTCACCATCTATTCATGATAAAAGTTCTCCAAAACTAGTATAGCAGGAACTTACCTCAACATAATAAAGGCAATGTATGAAAAGCCCACAGCTAACAAACTTTTCCTCTCAGATCTAGTACAAAGCATGGATGCCCACTCTTGCCTCTTCTACTTAGCATTATACTGGAAGTCCTAGGCAGAGCAAGTAGGTAAGAAAAAGAAATAAAATGCATCTAACTCAGAAAGGAAGAAGTAAACCTGTCTGCAGATGAAATGACCACATATGTAGAACATGCTAAAGACTCAACCACAACAAAAAACTGTTAGCTTTTTATTTGACTAATTATTCACTAATAAATGAATTCAGTGAAGTTGCAGGGTACAAATCTGGTAGACAAAAACTGGCGGCATTTCTATGTATTAACAATGAACTATCCAAAAAAGAAATTAAGAAAGCAATGCCATTTACAAAGCATCAAAAAAATGAAATACTTAGGAAAAAGCTTAATCAAAGAAATGAAGGACTTGTACACTGAAAACTATAAAACATTGATGAAGGGAATTAAAGACAAAGATAAGTAGAAGGACATCCTGCTTTCATGGGTTGGAAGAATTGATATTGTTAAAATGTCTATACTAGTAAAAGTGATCTACAGATTCAATATGATCACTATTGAAATTCCAGTGGCATGCTTACAGAAATAGAAAGAACAATCCTAAAATTTATATGGAACCACAGAAGACTCCAAATAGTCTAAACGATCTTGGGCAAGAAGAACAAAGCTGTAGGCATCACATTTCCTGGTTCCAAAATATATTTAAAAGCTACAGTAATCAAAATAGTATAGTACTGGCACAAAAACACATGCATAGACCAATGAACAGAATAGAAAGCCCAGAAATAAATCCACACACTTACGGTCAACTGATCTTCAACAAAGGTGCCAAGAACACACAATGGGGAAAGGATAGTTTTTTTAAGAAATGATGCTGGGAAAACTGGATATCCCCTACAGAAGAATGAAATTGGACTCTTAATCTTATACCATATACAAAAATCAATTCACATGGATTGAAAAATTTAGGTAAGTCCTAAAACTGTAAAACTATTAGAAGAAAACATAGGGGAAAAGTCTCTTGACAATGGTCTTGGCAACAATTTTTTGGTCAGGACTCCAAAACCCACCCGCAATGAAAACAAAAATAGACCAGTGGGATTGTAACAAATTAAAAAGCTTCTGCACAGCAAAGAAAACAACCAAAACAGTGAAAAGGCAACCTACAGAATGAGAGAAAATACTTGCAGAAAATATCTGTTAAGAGGTTAGTATCCAAATATATAGGGAACTCATACAACTCAATGGCAAAAAACAAACAAGTAATCTGATGGGCAAAGGACTTCTTGACATTTCTCAAAAGAAGACATACAAATGGCCCACAGGTACAAAAAAGGTGCTCAACATCATCAATAATTAGGGAAATGCAAACCCAAATCACAAAGACATATTACCTCAAATTGGTAATATGAATGGCTGTTATCAAAAAGACAAGAGAGAGCAAAAATTGGCAGGGGTGAGAAAAGGAAATCCTGGTATACTGTTGGTGGGAATGTAAACTGGAAAGTCATTATGGAAAACAGTATGGAAGTTGATCAAGAAATTAAAAAATAAAATTACAATAAGATCCAGAAATCCCATTCTTGGTGTATGTCTAAAGAAAATGAAATCTGTTAATCTAGAGATATCTGCATTCCCATGTTGAGTGAAGCACTATTCACAACAGCTAAGATATGGGAACAACCTAAGTTTCCACTGATGGATGAATGAATAAAGAAAATGTGGGATACATATTCAGTCATAAAAATGAAGGAAATCCTGCTATTTGTGACAACATGGATGAAACAAAAGGACATATGCTAAGTGAAATAAACCAGAAACAGGAAGATAAATACTGTATGACCTAATTTATATGTTGAACCTAAAATAATCAAACTCATAGAATGGAGTTGTTAGGGGTTGAATCAGGGAAATGACAGGTACAAAATTTCAGTTATGCAAGATGAATAGATCCTGGAGCTCTAATATACAGCATGCTGATGACAGTAAACTATACTGTATTGCATACTTGAAATTTGTTAAGAGTAAAAGTCTTAAATTAAGCCTTTTTAACACACACACACATAAAATAGTAACTATATGATGATGGATATATTATTTAGCTTGATTGTGGTGATCTTTTAAAAATGTGTATGTATATATATATGTATATATGTATATAAATATCAAGTTGTAGATCATAAATATACATAGTATTTACATGTCAAGAGAATTACAGTAAAGTTGTTAAAAAATAAAAAATAAAAAAAAGATGGAATAATTTAGAATTATGATTCTGAATTTCATTTTTCAAATTTAAAAACAGTCTGTGTCTATCTTTCTAAGTCAACATGTATAGGCCTCCCTATATTTGTCCTAATAGTTGTAGAGTTCTCCATTGCTTGAATGCCCCAAAACATATTTAACCATCATTTCACTAGGTTTCAGGTTGTTTCCATCTTTCTGTCTTTTGTAAAGAATGCCCAGCATGGACCTTCCTATGACACGTTAGCACATTCCACAGGCTGATTTGAGAATCTAATAAGATAATACACATAAAGTAATGTGTGACTCTGAAAGTATAAGAGAGTATTTATTATTACCAATATCCTGTGCTGCATTTAAAAAAAAGGTGCAGTTTCAGAAGTTGAGATCAAAAAAGGGTGCTTTGATATTTGAAACAAATCTCCTCTGACACAGTGACTTGCAACCATCCCATGCACCCTGATCACCTGGGAGCTTTTAATACCCACCTATGTCTGCTCCAGCCATTCTGATTTTTGACTTGGGATGGGAATAGGTCACTGGTATTTGTTAAAAGCTCTCCTGCTAGAGGGCAGCTAGACAACCAGAGCAACATAATCAATGAGCATCAATATCCCATCCGTGCCCACTTAGATGGATGGTGTCTTGGATCCGAGCACACTCTCAACATCTTGAGTCAATAGAGCTTCTCATGGAGGGAGCACATGTTATTGCTGCTCTTGAAATATCCTATTTGCTTATCGCTTTTTCACTTCTTGTGAATTTTGCCAATGGTGGCAGATGGTCATACAGCAGCTGCTCTGCCATCAGAAGGGCACCAGCAGGCAGGGGCTGGTGAATGTGCTCTGCCTGCGCAGGACTCAGGCTAGGCAGGTTTATCAGGCCTATGCTCATTAGGTCCCTCCCTCCCTCCTGCCCACACACACTGCCAGAGCTTTCTGCAGGGGGCTTTTTCTGTTGCCATGTGGAAGAACCAGGAGCGGTGGGGGACCTGCCACACCTCCCTTCACTGTTGAGTAAGCTTCTTAATGAGAATCAAAACATGTCTTGCCATCTGCTAACATCTT